AGACTGAGAGGTTCCCAGTTCCTTCAAACAGGTCAAACCAGTCAATAAAAACTGTAATACGCCCATCATTTACCATCAGCTGTGTGTAACAGTACAATTCAGCAGGTGGTCGTGTTACATCACATACAAATGTATGACTGACAAGCCTAATGCTAAAAGTTGTTGCTGTATAAAATATAAATAAACAACAATAAAATGCTTTGATTTAAAAATCTCATAGCAAATATCAAATGCTGAAATCAAAACATAACTTTTTTTTGAACAGGGCAATGTTTAATTTGATGGCAGCAACACATCTCAGTAGTTAACAGAGGCAGGTCAATGTTTCCCACTGTGAAGCTGTTTTTCATTTGTTTGATTTATAGATTTTTTTCAGAATTATGGTTGTATATTTTGATGTTTAATAATTTGATGATGTCTATGAATGTGCCATAAACAAACAAATCAATATAAAACAGTCTGTCTCATTCATTCATTCATTCATATACAAAACAAAGTGAGACACTGTAAATGTGTGACTGAGGTTGTCTTGGTTGTAAAATAAAAGCTTGGACTGACCTGTAACTGTGAGATTGACCTTCTTAGTATCACTTTCAGGAAGAAGTGTGCAYGTGTATGTGCCAGCATCATCAGACTGCAGGTTCTTCATGATGATGGACACATTTCCATTGTTGTAACCATCTTGGAGGAAGGACACTCTATCTTTGTACTTCTTATCCTGGTTTTCAAGCTTTGCTTTACCACCAATGATGTCCAGTACAATCGAGTCATTTGCACCTCTCCAGAAGACTTTGTTCGTTTGAGACAGAGATTGATTAAAGTTGCAGGGGAGAGTGACGTCTTCTCCAGTAGCACCTTTAACTGTATCATGGCAGTGCACTGAGAAACAACAAAGATTCACACAGATAAATATTCACTGATTCTGGATCTGTTCACCAATCAGACAGCTTTGACTGTGAAATCAACAGATTAATCAAAGAATCTAAATCTACAAGGATCAGTTCAATATACTAAAATTCTACCTTGTTATTTTCAATTAAATGTTGCTGCTTTTACTTTATAACCTGATATAATTTATTCCTTTACCTTACATTAGGGAAACAGATGGTTGAATTTTTTATACATACTGTACTTTTACCATCTTTTTGATGTGAGGGCCCTGTCACACTACAAAGTTTTAGACAACTTATACCAACTAATGAAAAGTTTATCCAACACTAAAAATGTTTAAGCTGAAGATGGAATTTTTTAATCAAATTTACTGGAAGCCTCTTTTGGACCTATACATACTGTAATGCTAACAACTAGATCAAATATATAGACAATATGAGTAAAATAATCAACATTTTCACAAATGACCATGAGTTGTCTAAAACAGAGTATGACAGGGTTTTTACCAAAGAAAATATTAGCTCCAACTGTTGTCACCACAGTCATTTTCTGATCAATAATTAATATCCTGTTTGACTGAAGCTGCCTCTGGTTCATCAGTTTTGCACCATTATTTGATGGAAACTAGGCTACAAACTGAAACTAACGGCTGAAAGTGACAGTAACTTACAAACTTATGACTTACCTGTATTTTTTTTTTTTTTTTTGGGGGGGGGGGGGGAATTAAAACAAAAAACAGATATATCAAACTAAAACCTAAATGTGAGTACTTACTGTACTTGTATAACACCTTTCTATCCAACCAGCATACTCAAAGTGCTTCACACTACAGTCTGCGTCCTCATTCACACAGCACACTATTATCTCTTTACAAAGCTAACTTGAACAATCAATCTATAAATTGTAAACCTCAGTGCTAATCACATTAATGCACTGATGGGACACATCGGACAGTGGAGGTTCAGTGTCGTGCACAGGGACACTCTGACATGTGACTGAATAGCAGGGAATAGAACCACCAACTCTCTTGTTGATTCAAGATTTAGGTGTCAAAAAGGCATCTGTTGTTAAACTCCATCAGAGCTCTGAGCTTCTATCTGATGCTCCACCTCTTTTCATTTATCCAGCTGAGAGGATATCAGGTCAGGGTTTACATGTCCTCCTTTGACCTTAGAACCTCTGAACAGACCTGTGATGACATCATTTTAATGTCTGACACCATCTGCTGTCATATTTGAATCAGACAGAGTNGACACATGGACCTTTAACTCACTGCCTTCACTGGCTATTGCCTGTGTTTCTCTCTCCTATCCCTGTTATCCCACCTTCCCTTATCCTCCACCCCATATCTCTTGCACTGTGCAGGGTTTTTTGTCCTGAAAAGAGGACATAGCATGGTGTTCTTTTTTATCTTCTTTTTATCCTCGTGTTGGTAATTCTTTTTTCTTTTATGGGTAGCACCTCCTTATGATGTTTTTTCATGATGATGATTCTTAATCTGTGCAGGGGTCAATGGACCAGTGAAGATTGTGTTTTTGTTGTTCTGTGTTTACTCTGTGTCTCCACCCTTCAGTTCTCAGCTTATTTCCTTGTCATTTCTCAGCCAACCATCCTCACCTGTCTTCAATCCCCAATCAGTTCTCCCTCCAGGTGTTTGTAATTCTCGTCTGTTTAAATACTGGTCTTGTCCTCCACATACTCACTGGTTCATTGTTTGGCATGTCTGACAGTTACGGTCCCCTTCTCGCACTTCGTGTTTCTTGTTTTTGCTGCCACGACAGCTTTTGCTTTATTTTTATAACAAATATTCTTATTTTTCAAAACTCTCACATCTGCCTGAATTTGGGTTCATTCCTCCGCACCACCATAACAGAGTGAACCAGTTAATGTCAGAACCCATGGCGAGATAGAGTTTTTTCAAATTTATGGAGGAGAATAGTTTTTTGGCTCCGTCCAGCGAGTGGGGTTCATCTCGGAGGGCGGTCAGGACTCAGCAGGTCCCGCAGTCTACAACCATTCCAGTGGGTGGTTGTCAAATGACACCTGCTCAGCCTGCCTGGAGGCGGGAGCGCCAGGACCTGAAGATCGAGGTCCTCCCATCRCCTCATCTTTTGGAGGAAGAAGAGAGGTCGAGGACTCAGTTCTGGGGGACTTGCCTGGCGCTGAAGCCCACTCCTGCATCCGGCTCTTCTCAGTGCAACCATTGCCGGCGGCCCCTCCTGAGCCTGAGTATGATCCGGACTACGATCCCGTGTATGATCCCAATGGCCCCGAGTACTTCGGCTACTGCTCTGCTGGGCCAATGATTTCCCCTCTCCAGTTCCGCCTTCATTTCTCCCACCAGCATCTCCTCTGAGACGGTCCTGGACACCGCCTCCGCCAGTACCACCTCCGAGAGCGCTGCTGAGACCTCCAGTCTCCAACGCCTCCGAGAAAATTGATACCTCAATTAGGCCTGTCGCGATAGTCAATAAATCAATTAATCGCACGATAACTTTTTTT